ACCAGTCTAAACATAATCCGGTGAAGTCATGAGACTAGGTGACGCTCCGCTGTGTGAGGCTGCGACGCAGTGTCTAAATTCATCGTGTGCTGCTTCCTCGTAAGCGTCTTCTGCTTCAGGTCGGGTGTTTTTTCCAACATCCTTTGAGTATATAAGGCTCTCTTCCGTATTTTATAACCTCTACATTGTCCCTCTTATTCTCACCTCTGTTGAACCCCACCTCCTTTGCAAGGGCTTCCGCCCTCCAGACTACTCACTTATCCAGCCACAAATCCCTGTAGCCACGCATCCATTCAACAGCCACCTGGTGGGTACGTACTCTGTTCCATTACCTGTGCTAAGTACCAGGACACGTAAACGATTTTGGAAAGTACTCCATCCTTTGGAGAGCTCCTTCATTAGTGGGGAGTCACACTTCCAGAAGTCCGTATTAATCCCTCCTTTCTTTGAATGGCTTACCCCTCTGCTATAATGCTGTCTGAAATTTTAAAGATAGGCAATTCTCGGAAAGAATTTGATTTCATCTACTTGGCTTCAGTATAATTGGTGTTTGAAGGACGTTTGGAATTTGGAATGTTTTTCATGGAATTCAACAACTTCCTTTCAATATAATTGCCTAACAAGGGTGGGTGGATACCAACCAGTTTCTTGTTGTTTTTGTTTCAAACAGCTAAACAGTTGTTCGAAAAAATGAATCTGGCATATGGCCAAACTTGCCACATCTCTTTGAACCCAAAGTTTGTTTCATTATGTAATATGGTGAACAGCACATCTCTCCTAGAGTCATTATGAACACTGCAAAGGCTTCAGAGGTCTTTTTGAGATCCAAGTGTACCGCTCAGGGTATTATTCAACCAAGGTGGAAAGCAAAGGACTGTTTACTTTGATGGTTTTTTTGCTCTTCCAGAATCCCTGAGGGCTGAAAAAGAAAAGCAGTACTGTGTGACTTTGGTGATGTGGATTTAGCAAGGCTGTATCTGGGTCTCCAGTTCCAGAATTCTCTCCACTCTGATTCCACTGCCACCTAGAACATCATCCCGGCTGTCATAAGCCTTCTTGATTTATAAACTAGATGGCATTTACCACCCACCTGACTGCAGTTGGTGTCAGGAGGGTTAAAATGAAACATATTCAGAAGCCTTCCAGATTTTTTGATGTTCTGGATGAAGACAGTAACAACTCATGAACTGAGTCCCTTTTGTAGCAGGGAGAGTGTCTTCCTGTAGCCTGCTGGTAAGAAATGAGGCAAGGTCCCCCCCCCCGCCCCAGCTGTTTCAGGAACAGACAGGGGAGGAAATGCATGTTAAAAAGGAATAATCAGAATGTCAGGGAATCATTTTGCTTTGATTCTGAGATTTAGCTACTGTCTCAATCTTGGTAATTACTTTTCATCCATTTAATAATTGTAAACAACTCAAAGACACGTGTATACATTAATGATCAGGACCTGTTTCTCCATTTATAAAATGGGATTAATGTTCTTGTTTTATAAAACGACTTTTAAAAAATAAACTTGCTGATCCATATACAGTTCATTTTAAAGTTGCATTCTACACCTGGTCCTGGTGATAAGAGATGTTCCTACGTGCCCTAGATCCAGGTATGGGGCAGCTAAGATCTATGTGAGGGCTGGATACCAGCCAATGGCTGTGGAAAAGCCAAACTGGATTCTTGCACAACCATCCTTTTCTCCAGAGTAGACCCAGCCAAAGAGAACGTGGGGCAATTCAAACCTTCCTCCCGGATTCCCACTCCTCGCGGCCCCTCTGACCATCTGTTGTCATTATCATTGTCATTTTTCTGGCATTTAGCATTGTCATTCCCTTCTTTGGCCAACAGGCCATTTCCCAGCAAAGTGGGGGATGTATATTGGAAGAAAGCGTCAGTGTGCTGAAGTTTACCAGCTGTTTTTCTCCTTTGACTCCAGCAGCCCTGGTACCTACCTGTAGGACCGAACTACGGGTTTCCTTCTATAAATTGTGAAACAGCTGTTTGCCTCACTGAGTGGTTAAGGAACAGACAGAATATTTGAGGTCACCCCCAGGTAACTGCCATGTGGAGGTATGGTCCAGACTTACTTTCATTTATTATTATTATTTTATTCCTTATCGAGTGTGGTGTGCAGAGAGGCTACTAAAAAATTGCTTGATTAAACTCAGACTTAATTATTAATATTAGGCTTAACAGTTATTAGTGTCTTGTCACTTCTGCACGATCATTTTTGAGTATTTTAAAGTCAATCACACATCTCACAAATGCTTACTCCTAAACATTTTTTAGTAGCTGCCTCAAAAAAAGGAACTTTTTAATAACCATAATACCATTATCACACCTTAGCAAATGGAAGATAATTCCCTAATATTACTAAAATACACAGTCCAGATTCGGATATCTCCAATTATTCCTCAAATTCCTTTCTTTTCTTCTCTCTCTCTCTCTTTTTTTAAGTAGATTGGTTTGAATCAGGATCCAAAACATGGCTCCACATTTCACTTCATTAGGGAGGTGGTGTCTCTGAGGGGGCAGAGAGGGGGGATAATGGTTGGAATTCCTCTGAGTCCCCCAGCATGTGCCACCATCAGTATTCATCCACTCATTCAAATATTTAATTATTATTTTTTATGTGCTAGCCTCTGTGGCAGATATAAAGATACATTTGGCATAGTAGGTTTTTTTTAACATACTCATGTATGCAAATGAATAAAAGAAACAATTTAAGAAAAGTCCATAATTGACATAACATAGAAGAACTTGAAAACCCACCAAGTGACCTATTTACCAAGGTTAGAACAGAATGAAAAGGACTCCCGGAACAAGGAGGGAGCAGGACTTGAATCCAGGGTGTGGTGATTCCACATGGTGGGGGAGTGCGGGCGATGGCACTAGAGAAAACAAATTACGATGGTTCTCCAGGCACGGCTGGAGGTGAGGAGGTCCTGGACCACGTCTGACTGGTGGGAGCAGAAGTATTCCCAGCAGAGTATTAACTGGATAAAGTAGAGATGCTGGGGGACGTGCATAGAGAGACAAAGTGAAAGAAGTGTGTTAGAACCAACCAGTGGTGTCTTTTGAGTATGTTTCTTTATTAAACAACATATTTTAAAATAATTTGCGACATATAATGATTCATACAATTTATGCAAATAGACTACAAGCAAGGATAAAGTACGGACTTCATCTTTCTTCGACTACATCTCTTTTTGAAGCATATGATAGCGGACTTTTAAAAATCTGTCTTTTTTAATATATAAAAGTCTACATATTCCAGATCTTCACTGTGGTGAGGCTTATTGTTTATAAATGTGCGTCTACATGCACTGGTAGGCTCTGATGGATAATAAAATGCTAAATCACCAGTGGTGGGAAATATTAATGTACGTTTAGTGTTTACTATGCCTGTATTTAATCAATAGCTTACTTCTGCTAACATGCTTTGCGCGGCTGGCTCTAACATGGGAAGAAGTCTGTACTCTAGGAAAACCTGTAGCCCTTCTGAAGGTGCTCTACATTTTATATTCTCCTTTTTTGGAAAGCTGTAGCAGGCTCCAGAGAAGTGTGGGCATTCCTCTTGGTTAGGGAGCAACGGCCGAACGAGTCATGATTTTCTATGTGGCTTCTGTGTCTTTTTTTGAAGATGATGCTTGAGACATTCCTGGTATGTGTAGCACTTCACAGAACCACTGTATCAGAACACTGAACTCTTTTCTTTTTTTTTTTTTCTCTAGAGAGCAAATTAACACCTGCTAAGCATGCTTCATTCTCTTCTTTCTACTACCAGGCTTTTAAAAAATTATTATTCGCTGGAGGAGCAGGAAAATGCCCAGCGGCTAAAACCAAGTATTCCAGGGGCTTCGGGAAGCCGCAGGTTTTCTGCGATGTGAAAGCAGACTCATGAATGGGCACGTGTGTTCTGGGACTGGAGGGCGATTGTGCCGGCCGCAGGCCGCACGGCACGTAGCCACTCCGCTCAGAGCCCGGGAACCTACTTACCATTGTCCTAGTAACACACAGC